AGAGGGGTGACGAAACAATGGTTACCTAAGATGTATGTACATGTGACTAGTGGATTACGGGAACGTGTATTGGGTGAGATCTGTGTTCGTATCCCGCTATGACGTTTAGTTTCTCTGGCGTGCCAGTGGCTGGAGATTGGGTGGCATCCATTGTGCTGCTGGCGGAAGCGACACTGCAATACTTTTTGTACACACATATGTAAATATGTGTGTATGTAAAAGCACAGATGTACACATGCGAAGAAAAAAACTTGGCGCAAACGAGAGCAGCAGTGAATGGCGCAACGAGCGACGATCGCACTGTACTGCTGTGGCTGAGAGTGGCTGCCATTCGAGGACGTGTGGCGCAATCTCCGATACGGGCGGCCAATCTCCACTTGCAAGCAGGGCCCCTCGCCGATGCATAGTGAGTATGCAACAGTCAGCAAGTCAAACTCAGTACCGTTGGGCGCATCAGAATGCTAGGGCTGGTACAGTTGATACGTTGAGTAGGTCTTGGTAGACGGGCTGGGGCTCACTCATGCTACATAGTACTAGGGGCTCATGCAAGGGTTTTTTCGGGGAAACCTGTGTAACGGGCCAATGAAAAGGCCGAGCGACGGCAGAGCAGATTCGGATGTCGCGGCATTTTGCGATCTCATCTCAAGACAGACAATGCCTGATCAGCATGCCATGGACACGCAAGACATGGTAGCCAACGGCCAGAGCGTTGAAGCGCCAAGGGAGAGGAGGCCCAAAGGGGAGAGGATGCGAAGAGCGGTACCGACAGCCAGCGACAACGACAGAAACAAAGACCATGATCCTGTCCATAAGCAGTAGCGCAACCGCATTACCATCTAAAATTAAACGTTCAAAGTTAAGGTATTTGGCTGACACGGTCCTGCTAGGCGTCGGCCGATTGGGCTGCGTGGCTGGCCAGTACGACGAAACCCTGCAGCCCTCTTTGCCCCCTTCAACATGTTTCCTTGGCGAGTGAGGATCCCTTTCGGATAGCATCTTACTTGGTTCCCGCTGGTACGCCCCTTGGTTTCTCTCTCCGCCCTCACGACACGTTAGCCATCTCACCGGCTTGCGCTGCTACGTACAAAACCTTAGCCACCCCGCCTGTCATCTCCGCCCTCTTCGTCTGCTGCTGCTGTTGTCGCTGCTGCTGCCGCCGCCGCCATTGCCCTCGCTCTCGCCCTCGCCATCGCCTATCGCTGCATTCGGTCCGGACGCCTCACCTGCACCGCCGCACCTCCCGTCCCACCCGCTACCGCACGCACAACGCCCCATCTAGTACTTGTGCGCCCTGGCCTTACTTCTCCTCCCCTATTGCCGACACGACTTTGCTATTGGCATGAAGGCATAGTGTAGACGAGCCCGCCAACTCTCGCTCGCTACATACACCACCACATCCATACACCATGGGTACGTCGAAACCGCGATCATCATCCGAACCCTGGACCCATCGCGTGGCTATGCGCCATTTCAGAAAAAGGAGAGATCAACGACTGACAGACATGCAGTGGAAAAACGCCCCTCCATCGAGGGCCTCGTTGACAACATCGACCCGCGTGAATCCCACGAGCTCGAGGAGCTGCCCACATTCGAGAAGCCCGTCACGGAACCTACGCCAATATCGCTCAAGGACAAGTTGATAACATGTTTCTGGATCGCGCTCAACACGCTCTCAACGCTGGGATTGATCTTCCTGAGTAAACGGTATGAGACGACAACCGCCGACCGCGTTGGAAACCTGTTTGCTAACCGCCACGTAGAGTATTCAGCGACAAGCAGCTCAAGGCGTGTCAACTCATGGTCGTCATGTGGCATTTCACCGCCACCGGTCTCGTTCTCTTCATTTCAACGCTGCGGCCCTTTTACGCCTTCAAGGCCGTCAAACTCAACATCTGGCAGATGCTGCCCGTCTGCGGTTTCTTCGCCGGCTATGTTGTTCTTGGCAATCTTAGCTTGACCTTCAACTCGATTGGCTTCTACCAGCTTTCCAAGGTCATGACCACACCCACGGTCGTTCTCATCAACTTTGTCCTTTTCCGAAAGTACGTTACGCGATACATGCTGGCTGCTATTCTTGCAACATGCATTGGAGTCTCCTTCACCATCAACGAGGCGGCCAAGACCCAATTGTTTGGTGTGATTATCGCAACTCTGGCTTTCTGCAGTACTGCCCTGTACCAAATCTGGATTGGTAAGAAGATTGAGGACTTCGCTGTATCGCCACCCCAGCTTCTGCTCAACCAGGCACCCATCTCGGTCTGCCTGCTTCTTCCCTTTGTCCCATTTTTCGACACTGTTCCCGATCTTTCAACTGTGCCCACCGATATCCTCTGGAGCGTATGTGCATCGGGTATCATGGCTTCCATGTACAACCTGAGTCAGTTCTTGATTATCGGAAGGACGAGCGCCTTGACCTTCAACATTGTCAGCCATCTCAAGACTATTTTGATTCTGAGCATAGGATGGTACAGCGAAGGAAAGATTCTTAGCGGAAGAGAATGGTTCGGTGTATTGCTCGCACTCGGTGGTGGATGGGTGTACTCCCACCTTGCGCTCAAGGCAAAGAAGCAGGGCGGAAAGTAAGAGAGCGCACGAACGAGGATGGATCGACAGCATTCCATCTCCCTGGGAATCGCGGGTTGGCCGTGTAATGAATATTGGATAGGGACTAGCAGTGGAGATGGCTTCTTCTTGGATACTCGTTTTCTGGATCGATACAGCAATGCAAAGCCATCAACGCACAAGGGGGCGCAAAGGATTTGACTCATGTCGCGGCTTCTGGATTTTTATTGACGTTGCTTGCGCAAGAACAGGAAGATGAGCACGATTGATAGATTGCATGGGCTTACATCATTTCTTTGGACTAAGACAGTAGCAAGGCGCCCATTTTGGAACTTACAATACAGCAGCGCAAGCAGTAGAGAGAGCTAGGGGTTGAAGGAGAAGGGGATTGGTGAGGATGAGCAGATGTTTTCATTAACCTTGGTTACGCTTTTTTCATTCAGACTATTTCGTTTTTCGTTCTCATGACTCTATCCCGTCATGTCATTGCGTTGTTATCTCTCTTGCCTTTACACGTTTTCATCCCACTCCTTCCTTTCTAAACGACAAGGAGAATCTGCGATAACATGGCCCGTTTTTTTCTTTGCCCCGAATGAGAAACTCTGATAGGTTAATACTTGCATCTTACAAATACCATCTTACGCATCGACTGCCTCCTCCCACTGTTTCACTCTCTTTGTCTGCCCAGATGGAAATGCGCCTTGCTCGGTGTTTCTCACCACGTCGTATCGCTCTATCTGTACCCTTTATCTATCTGACCGGTAGGTCTAATCCACTTTCCCCCCACTTTCTCCACTACCACCACCCTTCCTGCGGCGGCTCTTTCACTTCCGTTTCTGGATATGCATTCAAGATATGCGAAATACGACTTTTGCGCTATCCCCAATCCTACTCACCGCGCGGAACCCTTGTGGAGGGGGAGGGGGGGGGCCGCTAGTATTCCTTCCTTACCTTCCTGCGCGCTCTATTCTTTCCCTTTCCGGATAGTACTATGCGTTTGTGTGCACAGCCCCCCCACCCACACTCCTCCCGCTCCCGCCGCTGCCAACTCGGGGTGTCCACGAGACTGAATTAGGGCCCACTCGCCTCCCCACACCACACCCTTTTTCTTCCTTGTTTAAATTCTCCGATTACTGTACAAAGGAAGTAGTGAGGCGTTGCATTGTCCGCCTTGAGGGCTGTGTTTGCGTGTCACGTGGGGGAAGAGAGGTAGGGTAGGCAGGGGTAGGCGAGTGGGAGGCCTGAGATGAAGTGGGCTTTGCGAGGCAGATTTCGCAGGCTGACGTAGGATGAGACTGCGGATTATGGGCGTGTGGGTTGGATGAAAGGGGGTGGGTGGGTGGGTAGGTAGGTAGGGAAGAAGGATATATAAGAGGAGGGAGAGTGGGAGGGTGGTGTAGTATCATCATCATCATTATCAAAACTCTACTACTCGCTTCCCAATATACGCATCATTGATTCCTTTACATACCACCTACGATTCGCACAAAGACTTCGTTTCCAAGGGTCGGTTATTACCGCGAGTACGATTCGCTACCAGACAACAAACTCATCTCCAATAAAAACATCTTGCATCGACATTGGATATTCGCAACTCGCACCATCCGCTTTTAAGCACATCAATCACACCAACGACCAAATAAGACCCTTCGAAAAACAGCAAACAAACAAACTCTCCGTACAACACCGAATATTCATCTTGTAACAAGGGACACGCCAAAAGTCAAAAAAAATGGGCTGCCACTCCTCCAAACCAGAACCTTACTACCCTCCTGCGCCACCGAAAGTCGTAGTCAAGAGCAATAAGAAAGATCGCAAGCACAAGAGTAGCGGGTATAGCGGAGGATACAATAGTACGACGAGTGCGTATGGGTATACTAGTGGGGGATACAGTGGTGGAGGGTATAGTGGTGGGTATAGCGGAGGGGGCGGAGGTGATGGAGGAGGTGGTGGTGGTGGCTGTGGAGGAGGAGATGGAGGGGGTGGTGGTGGATGCTAAAGTGTGAGGAGGGGATTTGGGAGTCGGAAGGGGGGGTTACGGGATGGCGTTTTTTTTATAGGACTGGGTAGGGTGGAGAAGGAGTTTAGAGAGGGGAAAGTGTTTTATAATTTTGGAAATTTTATATATATATATGTAGTGGTGGGGAGGGTAGAGAGTTGGCTTGGTATTTTTAGGATATCTTGAATTGTTATTTTATGTTATTGAGACGCTGGAAACTAGGGTTCGCGAAATGAATTAAGGGATATTGCTAAGCTATCTTCATGTTTGGATACAGGTGTGTCTGGATTTAGTAGTTGGTGGGAGAAATGGAGAGAAAGCGACTTTGGCCTCAGAACTATATAAATCCTTCGATTACCTAGAACAATGTGAAGAAATTCAATAAAACGCAAAACCTTCTTCAAACTATTAAACCATGAAAATGAAGCCCGTTTTAGTCCTAGAGAACACTCTTCTCCTTCACAAAAGCGTTTTTCTTAAGTGACCGACCCTTGAGTGACTTTCGCAGATACGCCTTTCCCTTGCAATCATCGGTAAGTTCGGACACTCCTATATCGCTAATCCACATATACTGTATTGCCACCTCTTGCTTAGACGCCCCACGCTTATCAGTTGTCGTTCTAGTCAGCAAATGCTTATCCATAATCTCATTCCATTCCTTCATCTTTGCATAGCTCTTGGATTGTTGCGTGGTACAGGGTCCATGAAGAATCTCAAAGCCAGATTGAATCTTCAGTAAATTCATTGGAAGAAGTTTTCCGCGCCTGGAGTACCAAACGATTTTCTTGAATGTGTCATCAAAGCCAAGCTCCAATACCTCAAGTTTTTCAAAGTGCTCGATTGGAACGTGTAGCTCGAGAAGCCAGATGTCAGCAGGTGGGCAAGTGCGCTTGAGGTACAGCGCATGTGTCTTGGCTACCCAGAGTGCATCTGTGAAGTATAGGCCAGTATAGCAACAGAAATCTGTAGGATATCCCGAATGCAATGGAACAAAGTTAAGTTCCTGAGACATTTCGCCATTATCGGTTTCTTCGGTACTGAAGACGGATTGTGCTTTATGGAACTCGATGCTTTTGAATAGGACCCGATGCCCTGGAGGCGGTGATGCCACCACATCGTCTTCATTCGCTCCTCCCCTTGGAATCGGCCCTGACGATTGCTCTTGTTCTAAGACGCGCTCATCAAGATGTTCGAGTGTGCGAAAGTAGTTGCCGAAGATTTCCTCAAGCCAGGCCTGGAGAGACTGCGTGCCGCGGATAGCCTCGAACTTCTCATCCATTATAGCATCTTGGAGTTCTTTCTTGATGCCAGCCGCTGTCATTGCTTCCACCCAGTTGTTTCTATCGTCATCGCTATCTCGCAGTACATCATCGCAAATCTCATTCACCCTCTTGACAATATATCTCTCCAAGCTACACTCAAGAAAGTCCGAATTGAAACCCTCGCCGTAGTCTCTCAACAAGCCATCTCGAATCTCTTTTCCATCGTTGTAGATCGATCGTGCCGCTTTTGGGGTGAGACCCATGTACTCATAGGTATAGTGTGAATCCATTATCGGTAGTAGTGGTGATGGTAAGAAAGCAACGCAAGGGGGATACAGAGTTCCTATAGTTCTAGGACAAGCTAACGAGAATATTTCATATTCTCATCCATGGTTCTTCTTACCAGTCTGTTGCCTATCACGTGAAGATAAACTGGCGATTAACCACGGTTCGTTTGTGAAGTCATATGTTGCACAGTCATCAAGCGAGACTATTGCAGAGTGTATAACTGGCTTGGAAATTGCATTATGTCAGTGCACAGGGTAACTCGTAACCCTAGACAAAACTATCTTCTGAAATTTAGTATAAGAGCTGGACTTCTTGTATTGTAGATGAGTCATCCAATTCATGAATTTTCAACCCTTCTAAATTTCTTCCCTTTACCTCAGCATCTCCCTTACTCTACTACCACGAACCTAGCGCGGGCGTAGGTGAAGCTAGCTCATATCCTTCATATTAAACTTGTAGCTCGAGACTATCCTCCCTCGGTTAGTATAAGCTTTCTTATTCGTTGATTCACACATATTTAACCACAGTATCACTCTTACAGCTCGTAAGTAGCGCTAAAGATGATAGAAGCTTTAGCTCCAATATCAATCTACTACCTTAACTACTTACGATCCACTAACCTCGCCCCTTAGGCTGCTCACTGCTACCTGATCTGGCTTAGGAGTTCTGGTTAGTAGACATAATCAAAGACGAGGTATTCATATGATAATGTCAATTCCAAGGCTATATATAAGAAAGTGTTCGTAATCGTTACAAGATATCTATAGCTGTCTTCCGACAGCTGCAAAACCATTGTTCGTGCCCAATCCTCCAGCTTTTTTTTGGATTTTGAATTTTTGAAGAAATGAGAATCATGAAGAGAAAAACCAAAACCTTAACGCCATCCGCAAGAATCCGTGTCTATCTATAAAGGTCGTCTAGCAAGAAAGATCGCCGGTGAGAGGATCGTACTTGCAAGCCTTGTCGTCGTATTGGTAGCGAAGCTGCACATTACACTTAGTCCCAGCTCAAAAGTCGTTTTGAAAGAAGCACTTACGTTAATGAAACCGCCATCACCCTGGGTATAAAACTGCGTGCCCTTCCCAATGTACATGCAATCATAGTCGGTGTTGAGAGCACCGAGGCTAAACTTCAGGCTCACCACATCCGAAATGCCTGCCTTGTTGCTGACATCCCAAGCCTGGTTGTAGCACACAGCTGCGACCCATTTGGCCGGGTCTGGGTTGTTCTTCCACAGTGACGTAGTCGCTTCCTGAGTAAAAGCCTCACGAGCAGGGTTCCACTCGGTGAGAGGAAGCATTTTTTTGGCTATGTCGACGAGTGCGAGGGTGAGCTGCTCGCCGGCTACTGCGGCCGCGCTGCCAGCAATGATACTGGCTACAGCGCGTTTGGACACCATGTGCTCATGATTAGGGTCCATGACATGTGAGGGTTGGACACCCTATATTGTAAGTTAGAAGTCATGGTTTTCTCGAAAGATGGGCTTGGTCCTACGATTGAAGGGGCATTGAAATCTTGTTCAAGGATAGGCGCTGCGCTGGCAAGAGCGGCGGTGCCGATGAGGTAGGCGAGTGAGTAACGCATTTTAAAGAGAGTTGGAGTAAGAATGATGGACTTGGTGAGTGGTAGTTATGAAAGACAGTGAGTGATGGTTGTGAATGAGAGTGTGAGTGATGATGCTTCTGTAAACTCGTTTTCCGGTAGTCTTATACATAATCGATGACCTCTTGTCATGAGTAGACTAGTCCATAATAATTAGCTCCCATATACGTTTACCGCTTGGCAGTGACACTTTAACATAGAGTAGATCCATTTTAGAGTGTTCCCCAGAACGTGCACATGTTAAACTGAAACATGCCGCTGTCAGACTGAGAAACTATCAGGCACAAGTTGACTATTTGGCTACGCTAACAAGTAAAGAGGTTTTTAGCGTTGTTTGGAAACACTTTAGTGCTGCTCTGCAAGTTCAGCATTGGTTGAGCCAAGGATGGTAATACCTTATTCATGGCTGGGCCCGAAGGGCGCGGATCACCAATGGCTCAGGCCTTACTGGGACAAAAGTCATGATGGGTATTTTAAGAATACTCTCCACCACCTCGTTTCGAAACTGCTCTGCTGCTAGATTATAGAATACTCATTTGAAATGCCTGAGTCACATGCTGGACCACGGCAAAGCATGAATGTCCGACTTCCGATCGAGCCTTGGCCCCAATAAGCAAGATACTTTGTTTATAGAACACAACCATGTGACTCCAACATAATCTAAAAATACACTCACTACTATGGTATCCGTAAAGCCATGATGCCTTCGTAGCGAGCCCATAGGCAAAGTAGACAAAGCAGGCGTACACGGTTTTTCGTATCCAAGGTTTTCCTTAATTCAGTGGTTGGTCGTCTACGAATCATGAGTCTCAGGAACACGATAGAGACGAATAAAAATGACCAGATCGAGACGACAACCAGGTGGTGCACGCACATTATCAGGTGTTTGGGTGTATGGTGTTGCGCAGCATTGAATATTCGGACAAACCTGGATGTGTCAACTGTCAAGAACAGTGACCTCCTGACTGGCCAAGGTCGTCCAAGCTGCGAAAAGGAGTAGCAGTGATTCAGCCAAGACTATCCAGAGCATCATTCCCTGAACTTAGCTGCTGAGTAGAGAAGGATAGATCTATATTGTCTTATGTCAGCCATGTCTGCTTTAACGTGCTCCACCAGTAAGCTGGGCAAACCAGTAAGCTGGGCACCCCACCAAACCTGACGCGACTCTCTCCGTAACCACCACCATGCCGCGACAACAACGCTCTATACAGACCTCTCGTGAAGGCAGAATAAGTCTTGCTATCGCGTCTTATCGTAATAATT